GGTGGCCAACTTGCCCCTCTACCCGGTGCCCATGGTGCCGCCTCCGCGGCCGGCGTCGACACGGAGTCAGCCCCGGAGCCCCCTCTACTGCCCAGAGGCCAGCGCCGCCGCCCGCCCAGCCGCCTGCCCGCCTGCCCAGCCAGCCCCGGGCTCCCGGGAACGTCAGCACGCCGCCGTCTCCGGACCTGCTCCCCGCCAACCCCATTGGTCGGAAGGAGAAGGCTGGCCCTCGCCATTGGCCCGGCCCTCATATTGAACCGGCCAATGCAAACTGCGGTTTCAGGTCGCCATAGAGACCGATGCTGTTAAGAGCGAGAGGGCCTGAAGAAGGTGGGGAGTGAGGCTGAAGGTGTCTCAGGCTTTGGGAGCGGGAGGGGGTGTAGGGAAGAGATACAGGGGGATTCCTGAGTGCTGGCTCTGAAACCTGAGGCAGCTTGTGCTTTGGCTTCCTGTCAGCCCCAGCTGTGCATGGTAGGGTTTGTCCCTCACCTCACCTCGAATCCACGAGAGCCTAGGAGAAGGCATTTCGCTTTTCCTGCGTCTGGGAGCCCCTGAGACTTTGACCTTTGACCTTTGACATGTGTGCAGCTTCTGCTACTCCAGGTGAGTTTGCACCCTATCCCTTAATTCGCTGTTTCCTGACGTCACTGATCCACCTGAATTCTACTTGTTTTCGCCCAGCCACTCCCCTTTCCCTGGGGCCCATCTTGCCTCAAAATGTTGGGTCTAAAAACTTATAGCCGTCCGTAAAGGAGACTCAAAGAATATTTCCTTTGAATGATATTTTGGTAAGGAAACAGGCTGACGTATATTATGTGGGATGTCATTGAGTCATCACATAAGATAATGTGTTCCCTGCTACTCCAAGCAAACCTCTAATCTCCCCATTGAAGGATATTTATTAAAGACCCACCTGTGTGTACATTCTGCACTGTGAGTTTGGCAGGTGCATGCTCTTTCCCCTAAGGGTTTACAGAGTGGGGAAAGACAGGTGACAAAGTCATTTCTTCATGCCTTCTGATGATCTCAGAGAGTAAAGGGAATAGATTACAGTTGACAGATGTTGTTTTCTGGGTATTTTCCAGTTTACCTCAAATTTGATAAAGAAATGAACTGAGACATGTACACAGAAAAATCTTGAGTTTTAATAACAAGTTCTTTGCTTTCCTTTAGTCACCTTGTGCTAGTTTGTCAATAACAATTGTTTTTTGTAAATAACTTTCATATTTAGATACTGGCTATTCAAGTGGGTCTTCATGAAAATATTAGGCTTTTAAGCATTATATTGCTCTATCATGTAGTCACTGATATTCTTAGGTTTCTTCCTTTGGTGATTTTGCCATGTTAGTAAGATGTAAGAAGACAATGTTTACGTTACCACCCTTCAAGTTGGAGGGACCATATTTTGTGAAAAAGCTGATAGGATTTTGGAAATTACAAATATTTATTGAGAGAAACAGATGAATGTGTGTGCAAGCTACATATGTCTAACTACTGTCCAGAATTTTAAGTTGAATAATATGCTTTGCTATTAGTTTTTATCTTACTATAATTGAAAATTACAAAAATAGATAAGACTTGTTAATATGGTACCTTGATTGGAAAAACATCTCTTACAATTTGTAGTAAAATTTAAACTTAGTTGGTAATCCTATGCAGGGTTGAACTGTGGAACAAAACAGTTGAACATGTGAGTGTTCCCCCTAAATATTTCCAGAATTGGGAAGGAATCAGCAGGGACCATAGTGTGTGCTTGTCTCATGCCTTGCCATCACGGAAGTTTGCTCATCATGTTTTTCATTTCTGGTTTTTGTGTGTGTGTGTTTGTTTTTGGAGAATAGAAAAAGTAAAATGCAAATTTTATGACTCATTTTTAATGTACTAAGAAGATAACAATGATTTGGTTTTAAAAAATATCTAATAATACTGAATGAATAGAAGATGTATCTAATGGAAAGAATTACATTGATATTTCCTTTTTTCTTGCCTTAGGTTAGCATAGAAAGAAAACAAGAATTAATTTTTTTGACTCCAATAATCTTTTCTTTTTGTATTTTTCTCAGATCACGCATGATGAGTATTTTGATATTGTGTATTCCATGTTTGTAATGATTAAAGTGTCACTAAAATCTGTGAGTAAAGTCCCCTAAAATGTTGCTAATTGACATTATTATTATACTTATTAATTATTTTTTTGTAATTCTTATACACAGTTGAAAGATTTCTTTTGAACTTGCTCCTGTACTACCAAGCACTGCTGGATAAGGCTAAGAAATCATTTTGTTCCAGTGAAAGTCTATGCTATCCAGACTTGGCTGGGTCTTCACTGATTCTCTAAATTCCTTTCCTCATCAGGAGGGTGATTAAACAGGACACTTAACCAGGGACATTATCCAGGGCACTTCTCCCAAACCTGTCCTATTTCTGCTCTCCTCAAGCCCCCACTGTACTTTGTCTTCTTCCAGTTCTGTAAATGATCTTGCCTCATACTTAACTGAGGATCCATCATGAGGTTTCTCTCTTTAACACTCCTACCCCAGTCTCAATTTTTATACGAAATCACTTACTTCAATCCTGACTGAGAAGGGGTGCCACTCTTCTGTTCTAAACTCATACTCCCATTTCTATTCCTAAACATGGGCTATCTTACCTCCCCAGGAGTATCCTTTATTGATTATAATGTCTCTCTTAGATCATATGTTATTTTCTCATCCAAAAAAATTTTTTCCTTACACCTTGCATATATCTGACCCTTTGTGAAACCGCCCATCTTCCAGCCCACCTCCCTGTCCATCTTATTGCCTTTTCTTCTCACCAAAAAACAGTCTGAAGGGAATTTCTTAAGGTTTTTATTTTTTTTAACCTTCAATATCCTGGCCCTTGAATACAACTGAAAAGATTCTGAAGGTTGTGCACTTTCTCCTCAAAATCCAACTCATTTTGCCAGTAAAGTTCTCTCTTACAAAAGGGCCTTTTACTTGCAAATTGCAATGCCTTAATTCCAGATTTCCAGTGAGGGGTAGAAACCATTGTCTCCCACTCTGAGGTTCCATATAAATGCAAATGAACAACTTGAGAAGAGGGAGCATTTAACCTGCTAGCCAAACCACCTAGGTAGGTGGGGTCTAACTGCTGGGAAGTAGAGGTGGGAAGAGGGAGCTCTACTGAGCCTGACTGTGGGATCCAGGGCAAAGTTCAAAAGACTGAAAATGTTTGGTGAGTACCACCTTCAAGAAAAAAAGTAAATTGCAGAAATCAAAGGGATTTTTTTCAGTTACCATCTCAGAAAGAAGTCAATCAGAACCTTTCATGATTATGAAAACTTTGTGACTTTCCAATGTTTGTTATTTTCATATTAGCTCATAATGATTAGTATTCCTGAAAAATAATAGCAGAGGCAGCAAGGAAAAGGGAGAGAGCATAAACACTGCCTCCTTTCTCATTCTTGGAAGCCTATGGAGAAGGTGGGAGCAATAAATATAAGAATTCCAAAAAATACACTAATTAATAGTTGCTTTTTTTGTTTGCCTTTAAAAGGAATGTTAAAACAGAGGCAGGTGGCAAATGAGGGAAAGAGAACAGTGGAATAAACTGGTCCTGAGAATGGCAGCTAAAGCTCAATAATAGTTCGGCTCAGGCTTTCAGGATTGACTGTGTCCTACCTCCAGACCATTCTCTGAATATGCAAATCCTCCCCTGCCCTTAGAGGCCCAGCCCAATAGTTACCTCTAAAGCCTTTCCTGAAAATTTCCCCACCTTACCCACACCTCTAGAGAGGGTGATTTCTGCCTTAGTATTTTATTGTAGCACTCTTTACCCCATGGTGTAGTTACTCCTGTGTGAGCCTTCTCTCCTAGATGATAGGATACATGTAATAGTCATGGCTGTATCCTCCATAGTGCCTTGGACTACTAAAGTGTCTCCCACACTAAGAAAAGCCAACATCCATTAATCCTTATTTTAGTCCTTGGAAGAATTTGACTTCCAACAAAGAAAACATAGAATCAGTAATGTTGGGAGGTACTTACAAAAAGATGGGACTCGAGGTTCAATGTAGAGAAGTGAGATAACATGTGGCAGAGCAGAGGAAAGGTTTCTGCCATGTAGTCTCCCAAGAGAGAAAAGCCTTAGATCTTATCTCTAAGAGGACCTGTCTCTGCCCCTCTGTGAGGGGGGACCAGTGTGAGAAGGACTGGCTGCGTGTGCTTTGGGATGAAGTTATCATATTCAGAGCTAAAATTCTGTGTATTGGGAAAAGCAGTTGAAACTCAGTTTTGTCAAGCAGATTAAATAAGGGTTACCTACATTTTTTTCATCCGAAGTATCCAGGTTGCTCTGTTTTTTGGAACACAGTGGAGTCATGAGAATGTAACAACTTTATAAAATCATAAAGGCATCAAACACCTGGTAAGTGTAATAGACACGTTTCCAAGGACCTATATCCACAGCCATTGAAGTATGCAGCCCTGCAAGCTTCATGACCTAGCATCTGTCCATGGTATCAGCCAGGGGAGACCTGATTCAAATGTAACCAGTTCATTGCAGACGATTGGCCATAACCTATAACAGTACCAATCAGATTCATCTCCTGAAAATTTGGAATTTAGAGAACAAGTGAGCCAGAGAGAACTGCTGCCTTGGCCCTGATGTTTTCTGGGCTCCTATTCTCCCCACGAAGCCAGAATACACTTCATTTTTTAGTATTCCATGAGCTGTTTCTTATAGTCACCCCAATACATTCTTTTCTGGCTTTGCCTTTAGTGAGTCTCTGTTTCTTACAATAAAAAGATTTCATGACAATATTATGTAAATATTTGACAACAAAACAGAACCTGTATTATGACCATCTTATCGCACTATGAAGAGTAACAGTCTAAAACTGTCTAACAAACAAACTATAAAAAATGACCTGCCTAGTTCCAAATATTGCCAGTCTCAGTTGGGGAAAAGAGCTTTATTTAGTGTTGTGTCTATTCCCCAACCCCCCCACTCACCAAACTCAAAGCCTTATATTCTTCAACTCAATTCTCCTCCTGTGAAATTGGGAGCAAGAGAAGAACTTTGAGAAGATGAGCTATAGGATTGCTTTTTCAAGGTAGAATTATTTGCCATGCTACTGATGTAGGAAGGAAAAATTAGAATTTATATTTATTTTATACATGTACAGTAATTTTTTAGAAACTGGGCTAAAACATAAAAATGAGATAGGAAAATTACCGGAGATATCAGTGACCAAACAGCTCAGGGGAAACAGACTCTGAAGTCTAATTTCCAGCAATTTAAAGAAAGGAGGAAAACTGGACTTAATACAATATTGCTATAATATTTAGCCAAAATAATCCAATTTTCAACAAAAAATTTCGAGACATGCAAAACAAAACAAAACAGGAAAGCACAACCCAAATTCAGAAAAATAGGTAACCAATGGACATGCTGAGTGGGCCTGCTTGTTGGATTGTACAACTTATCCAAACCAGCTACTGTAAGTACATTTAAAAACTTAAAGGTAGGGGCGCCTGGGTGGCTCAGATGGTTAAGTATCTACCTCTGGCTCAGGTCGTGATCCCGTGGTCCTGGGATCGAGCCCCGCATCAGGCTCCCTG